GGGGTGGAAGAGAAGAGAAAAACCAAGCAAACAACGAGAAGCAAAGATGGATGCAATCTCCAGGTGCCAAGAAAGAGTTTTAAAGCCAGGGATAGAGATGACAAACACGTCATATGACAGCAGGAGAAAGGAGTAAGATGATCACCTAAAGCATTCAGTGGTTTTGGTAATGAAGGGCTTTTTGGCCAATCTTAGAGCAGTTTCAGTGGAAGGTGGGGAGCAAAATCAGGCTGCAGTGGATTGACTGAAGACGAAATAAGTTTGATGACGGTGTGAACTGTACTTTCTCTCCAGGGCTGGAAAGAAAGATGAAAAGAGGACTACTGGGGAGACTTGAGGGCAGATGCATAGAGGAAGGATTTTTTTTAAAGGGAATAGTAGTGGGGAGCGGGAGTGGATGAAAGATACACATCTGCAATGGAGAAAGATCCCCAAAGAGACCAGGATGGGATGGGGTCAGGAGCATGGGTGAAGGGGTTGGTGTGTCAGCCTCTGAGAAGGTAGGAAAAGAGAAAATGCTGTGTAATCATCAATCTTCAAGGTATTGCACAGGCCTTGTTCAAGTCTGCCAAGTGACCAAAAGGTAAAAGGATGTTTGAGAAGATTTCTACGTACTGCACAATTTTACACCTGGTCAATGTTGGAAAAGAGGGGCAAGGATTTAGTGACATTTGTGAATGTAAAAATGACAACTCTATGTGGACTGCTCAGGCTGGTTTTGAACTCCTGACCTTGAGCAATCCTCCCGCCTCGGCCTCCCAAGAGCTAGGATTACAGGCGTGAGCCACCGCGCCCGGCCTACTGGCTCAATTTTGAAGACAAAATAAACATTAGGAAAGTAAAGGAGTTCACTGTACAAAGGTAAAAAGATCTAAGAAAGTAAAATGAGTCTGGAGAAACTATAATTTGACCTGACTAGAATGTAAGATGAACAATCAGTGCTAACTGAAGAGGTGGACAAAGAAGAGATGGCAGATGGTCATTCCTTAAGTTCCGATTTCAAATCCTATGAAGAATGCTGCTAGGTTTCTATCTATATACTTAAATTTTTTTTTTTTTTAAATTGGGTGTACTTTTTTCAAAGGTACACTCTCTATTCCTTCTGCTTTCCCCAATTTTCAATGGAGGATGTGGAGACCTCTCCTCACAGATGTACTTTTAAAATTTAAAAGCATTTTAAATAGCAACCTGGCCAAGTAAATTATTATTCAAGGCAAGAAGCCACAGACCTCCTTAGTTGCTTCAAAGAAAGTAAAATACTGAGTAAATTGTCAGGTACGTATCCAATCTTTCTTTCCCACAACTTCTGCTCCTGTATACTTTGCATTTAGTAATAATAGAAAAAAATCTTAGCAACATTTAGATTAATATTAAAATTATTTAGTAATAATTTAAAAATCTCTAGTTTGAACTACCCGTGAGGAAATTACACGCAACTACGTACTTCTAACCGGTAGCATTAATTAAGCTGTGGTCTGTGTTCGGGGGCATTAGTGGCTGCTTCTAAATTGGATGGGGAGCTTCTGTCACCGGAATATAACAAGTTGACGTTACCTACAGCCCGAGGCGGGAGGAAAGTGAGGGAAAAGAGAGGTAAAATGTAAGTACAAACATGGAGTGAGTCCTGGCTTCTGTTTATGTATGTTTTCTCATATCCCCGCATTGACTCCACCAAAGTTCTGTTCCCAATGAACAGCTTATTCGGTACCTGCCTGGGAACACCTGGAGCAACACCAGGTCAGGGGGGGAACTTAAAACCTAAAGCACAGGCGGTAACTAAGCAACTAAGAGCGCCCCCCGCCCGCCCCACTTCCCAACCTGCGGCGGCGACCAGGCCCAAGAGGTCGCGGAGGGGCGCGGGAGGCGGGCGAGGCCGCGGCTGCCCAGCGCTTACTGGTGCCCCACAGCCGCAGCAAGTTCTTCGCGCCCAACCGCGGACGACAAAGGAGCTCCCGGCCCCGCCCCCGGTCCTGACTGATCAGCCTCCGGGCCAACCAGGTTTCGAATCTTCCTCTACGTCCTGCCCCCTAGCCCCGCCCCAGCACTGAGACCCACCCCCAGCAGACAAGGCTCCGCCCGCAGCCCTCTGCGGAGGAAAGTGAAGTCCAGGAGAGTAACCTGCCCATCATCTATGACTCAGCAACTATTGAGCGCCTACTGGTGCCAAGCAAGCAGTCAGTGCCTGTGAGCGGGGAGCACAGGAGTAAAGAAGGCGAACTGGTGTCTGCTCTTCACAACTTCAGTCCAGCAAGAGAGGATAAATGAACAAAGGAGTGGGTGTTTCATAAGGAAAGTACAGGACGCTCAGACAGTGAATAGCAAATACTGGAGTATTAATTGTTAGGTCGAGGACGGTTTCCTGGGGGAACTGAGACAGAAGAATGAGGGAGTTAGCTAGGCAGAGTGGGGAGGGTGCTGAAGGGAGGGGGCAGAGTTCTAGTTTAAGAGAAAATAGCATTAGGAAAGGCGGTGTCTCCCCTCCTGTCACCTCCTTGGTGGCATTATTTCTGCATGAACACTACCTTTTCCTATTCTTCTTCCCAAGTAGTCATATAGAGTTGTCATTTTTCACATTCACAAATGTCACTAAATCCTTGCCTCTCTTTTCCAAAATCGACCAGGTGTAAAATTGTGCAGTACGTAGAAATCTTCTCAAACATCCTTTTACCTTTTGGTCACTTGGCAGACTTGAACAAGGCCTGTGTAATACCTTGGAGATTGATGATTACACCAGCATTTTCTCTTTTCCTACCTTCTCAGAGGCTGACACACCAACCCCTTCACCCATGCTCCTGACCCCATCCCATCCTGTCTCTTTGGGGATCTTTCTCCATTGCAGATGTGTATCTTTCATCACTCCCACCTCCCCACTACTATTCCCTTAAAAAAAAAAATCCTTCCTCTATTGCATCTGCCCCTCAAGTCTCACCCAGTAGTCCTCTTTTCATCTTTTTCTTTCCAGCCCTGGAGAGAAAAGTACAGTCTACCGTCATCAAACTTATTTAGTCTTCAGTCAATCCACTGCAATCTGATTTTGCTCCCACCTTCCACTGAAACTACTCTAAGATTGCATAAAAGCCCCTTCATTACCAAAACCACTGAATGCTTTTAGGTGATCATCTTACTACATTTCTCTGCTGTATATGACAGTGTTTGTCATCTCATCCTGTTTAAAACTCTTTCTTGGCACCTGGAAGATTGCATCCATCTTTGTTCCTCTTGGTTTGCTTGGTTTTTCTCTTCCTCTGCTTTTGATGTGGCCCCCTGCGTGTCACTCATGTCATGCCATCCTGAGAATTCTGCCACTCTGACAGCTTCAACCAATGCCTTAATGTGTAGCCATGCACCAGAGCTATGTAGCTGATCCTGCCCTCACCCGATCTCATCTTCAATATTTTTAAGGGACTTACTTTCTCTTAAG